TTATTGCAGTGGCCCATTCTGTTGTTATCGGCCTGGCTGCTTTGATTAGCCAGGCCGGGCAAGGGTCCAAGGAGGAGGTGGTGGCTCGACAGCGGTCAAGCACTCTGGCCACAGAATCAGGCGTGACAGGCTGAAAGGAGTCAAGGGTTACCGGGCAAGACAGAGCGCTGGACATCTCTGTTCGACTCACTGTGTTCAAAAAAGGAGAGAGGTCCCGTCGGATGGCCTCCACTTTAGATTTTAAAAAGGCTGCAAACTAGTCAGGTGAAAAACTAGGGGGAGGCCTATCATCCGGACCAGATTAATCCGTTCCAGCATAAAAAAACCACCACCCCCCAAAAAAACTACAGCCAGCCCCATCAGAATGCGATGGGGCTCAAAAACAAATAAAAACAAAAAACAAAACAACACCACAACGAGTTTTTAATTAGAAAAACTAATTAAAAAAACATCCCCCCACACAGCCAGCCCCATCAGAATGCGATGGGGCTGAAAAATAAATAACTAAAGAAAGAATGAAAAAAAGAAAGAAAGAAAAAGAAACAGAACAAGCCCCGTTGGAACACAATGGGGCTGGAAAAAACAACAACAACAAAACACCAAAAACATCACAGCACAGAAACATAACCCCCCAGCCCAAATCCACCAAAACCCTGTAAATGTACTCACCCAGAAGCAGAAAGCAGCACCAGGCAGTCTGAAGCCTCTCTGCAAACGCACGCACTCTAACTGTTGGGGCGAAAGAGCTACAAAGAAGCTCCTCGCCAACCAACAGTTAGCCCTCTAATTTGAATTCCCCGTCTTTTCCCCCCTGCCTCTTTTGTTTGCAACTCGAAACTCCGGCCGCAAGTCGAAGCAAAATTTTGTGGCCAGAGCTGATTGCAAGTCGAAATGGTTATATGTTGGGACAGTCGTAAGTCGAGGCACCACTGTATCTTGTCCCAGTCCTCAGACCTCAAAAAACTGAAAGTCATCCAACTGTATGCCCTGGACTCTTCCACAGATCAAATTATATAACTTTTGGTATCTTAGTCATTATTGAATGAAAGTGCTTGTTTCAGTATGTATTAAAAAAACAGAAGAGAAGCATTATGCCACTTTTAAGACATACATTTATTTTGGTGTGATGTTTTATAGATTGTTTTATAGGCTGGCCACTGTCATACACACCTTAGTTACTTTCTGGCTGAATTACTGTAACTCGTTCTATGTGGGACTGCCAATGGAAAGTGTCAAGAAATTTCAGCTGGTCCAAAATGCAGCAGCCAGATTGCTAACTCGGGCTGGTTACAAGGATCACATAACCCCCCTATTACAGCAGCTCCACTGACTGCTGATCTGTTTCCAGGCACAATTCAAGGTGCTGCATTTAACCTATAGAGCCTTAAATGAATGGGTCCAAGCTATCTCAAAGACCGTGTATCCCATTATGAGCCAGCTCGGGGTTAAGATACCAGGAGAGGCCTTTCTCTCACTTCCACCACCTTCCCAGGTGCATCTGATGGGGACACAGGAAAGAGCCTTCTCCATTGCTACTCCTAGACTTTGGAACTCCCTCCCACAGGAGACCAGGTTGGCCCCATCTTTGCTGTCCTTCTGAAAGCAAGCAAAGACCATTCTCTTCAGGCAAGCTTTCTCTCAGTGACTGGCTACGTTAGTGACTGACTACGTGAGTGACTTTCAGATGGATTGTTATGCATTACTCCTCTGACTGGGTCTTTAGTACTACTTGTGCTTACCATCTCTCAGAGTGGTATTTTTTCCTTTTTAGTATTTGCATATTGTTTTAGTTTTAATACTGTCTTTTAATAATGTAAACCACCATTGTACACTCATTGTTTTCAGCTTTAAACATTGTCTTTCAAGCATGTAGTTTGTTAACAATAGTCATAAAGTCTTGAGTTCCAGACAAAGCAGTCCATTC